AAACCGACGCCTCTGACTTCGCTGTAGGAGCCGTCCTATCCCAGAAACAAAACGACAAATTCAGACCCATAGCGTTCCTCTCGAAAGCCCTTACCCCTGCAGAACGGAACTATGAAATTTACGACAAAGAGATGCTCGCAGTCATGACGGCGTTAGATGAATGGCGACATCACCTTGTAGGATCGAAACACCCCTTCACCATCTTCACAGATCACCAAAACCTCCTCTACTTCCGTCAACCGCAGAAATACAATCGACGCCAAGCTCGATGGTCATCCCAGCTTGCAGATTATAATTTTAAGATGGAACACGTCAAAGGAAATCAGAATACGAAGGCCGACCTGTTAAGCAGACGGATCGATCATCCTAAAGGCACAAACGATAACGAAGATCAGATACTTCTCCCAGACGTACATTTCGAATTACTTGACACCAACGAAGGATACCTACCAGATATACGTCAAAGCTTCCAGAAACAAGACGACGTAGTAAGGAAGAACTTGAAAGAGAAGCCGGATACCTGGAAGATGAAGGATAGGATCGTCTGGATCAAAAGAGAGTCCGCGACGAGTTCCTACCCGATCCCTTTAGCTGACCGAGTATACGTTCCCCGAAATCACGAACTAAGGGCGCGAATATTGAAAGATCATCACGACGAAGCCCTAGCCGGGCACCCAGGAGAAAGAACGATGTTTGAACGAGTGAACCGAGAGCTCTGGTGGCCGAGTCTTCGTACAGATATCAGACGGTATGTACGAGGGTGCGAGAGTTGTCAACGCACCAAGGCACATCGGACAAAGACTAACGCCCCTCTACACCCGAACCCGATACCAGATCGGCCTTGGCAGGTTATCACCACCGATCTCATAGGCGCATTACCGGAATCCAAGGGCTACACCGCCGTTCAGGTCTTTGTTGACCGATTTAGTAAAATGGCCCATTTCGTCCCCACCTTCGTCACTCTCGACTCGGCCGGTTATGCACGTCAACTCCGAGATAATGTAATACGACTCCACGGAATTCCTGAAAAGATCGTCTCCGATCGAGGTCCTCAATTCATGTCTCGATTCACAAAAGACTTCTACGACCTAATGGGGATAACACCAGGCCTCTCTACAGGCTATCACCCTCAAACAGACGGACAATCCGAACGGATCAACCAGGATCTAGAGCACTACCTCCGCGTTTTTATAAATCATCGACAAGATGACTGGGCAGACTGGCTCTCCATTGCTGAGTTTACATACAACAACCACCTCCATACCGCAACGAATCAAACACCCTTCTTTTTGAACTATGGGTTACACCCAAGAACGAATATCACCACCACGTTATCCCCTCGCTCCGCTTCTGCAGCAGAATTTAGCGAACAAATGAAAAAACTCCACGATATCACGAAATCCTCCCTTCTGGTAGCAAACGAGAATCTGAAGAAGTATTACGACCGTAAGAAATCCCCCTCCCGGGAGTACCAAGCTGGCGACAAAGTCTGGTTAGAAGGGCATAACATCACAACGGATAGACCAATGAAGAAATTAGACGATAAACGCTTCGGACCTTTCAAAGTCACCCAAAAGGTCGGACCCTCCGCCTATCAACTCGATATCCCTAAAAGTTGGAAGTCCATTCATCCCGTGTTCAACGAAGCCATCCTCTCCCCATACCACGCTCCCAAATTCATCAATCAACCAATTTCCTCGCGACCACCACCCGAGATCGTGGAAGGGATAGACGAATACGAAGTAGAGAGTATAATCGCTTCCAGACCGACCAAACTGAAAGGTAGTAAACTCGACTACCTCATTCACTGGCATGGTTATCCAGTCTCCGAACGAACTTGGGAACCCGACACCAATCTTACGCATGTCGCTGATTTACTCGCCGCCTTCCATAAAACAAATCCAGCCGCCCCTCGGATTATTACCGCTTCTCTCCACTTCCGTCCTTACGAAAACTACACCGCCACTTCCAAACCTCCCATGCTCTTTGATTGGATTAGTAACAAGTTCCAAAGTGCCGCATCCGGACTCATGAGGACACGAGTCTTATAAAAGGGGAGCTAATGTGAGGAATCGATTTTTCTTATCGCATTCCCGTCATGTCGTGGTTAGCAGACTCAATCCCCGTCACTCCTCTTGCCCTTGGACTAGAGATTACAGCAGGTGTCTTATTACTTTTATCATTTTTCTTCTTATTCTCTCTTCACACTCACGTTCTATCGTACCTACGACGAGGTAGACTCGTTGTCGACCCTCGAGAAGATATCCAGATGACATAGTCACGATCCAGTGCTATGTCTGGGAATACTTCGGAGGAATATTGATAAGCGAAGAAGGTTGTGAGTCAGCGCCTTCTCATGGGCTTACTGATACAGCCAATCGTACATCCCTTACCAATACGCTTTCTCGTACGATTAGTAAAGACGATAGATCGGACCACTTTCTTCCTTTTTTCTTATTGGTTAGCTAGCTGGTCAGACCACTTTCTCAGTACTCCCCTTTCTCGGTCTGACCATCGTCGTTCACTATATAGAGAAGTACATACTTGATGTATTGTTCTCCAGTTCAATATTAGTTTGGATTTGCGCTCTTACCGATACTCTTCATTCTCATACTCTGATTCACCGCCTTCAAGGAAGGACTTGACCAGACATTGGGCTTTGTTATATAGCTTCGTATTTGTTGCCTGACAGTGACCACATTGGATCACAAGTAGCAGTAAGAAGTGGACTTAAGATTAGAGAAGAAGTCTGGAATCGAGTTCTTGTTTTTTTTTTTTACAAGGTAAAATACAGGGGTTTATATAGTAAAAGAGAAGTAGGCTATGCACAGTATAGCTGTGCAAAAAGAATGAGAAAGAATATGAAGGAAGGAATGTACGCTGACAAATCCTGTGTAGGTAGTACAGGATAAGATTGTCAAAAAAAGGAAAAGAAAGGGATAGAACAATGAATGCTGTGAGTAATGTCACAGGTTTGTACAGCCATAAAGTAAAGTCCAATAGCAAAAGGAGAGCAGGAAAATCATGATGTCATGGGAAGATGCAGTAAAAAAAGGGCAAGGCAAAACACTATCAGTATCAACACAGTTCCTTTATTGTCAGTCAGGCATTCTAAAAAAATATGTGTCCATAAAAATGATTCAAAAATCAAAAATAATCGCACTGTAAATGAATGTTCTGCTGAAAAAAAAGAAACTGGAGCCACCGGTCCACCACCTAGTCCAAATCCGACAGTTCCATGGCCTTACCAATGGACTGGTTGTGTTGGACCACCTGATCAAACGAGGGAGGGAGAGGAGTAGTTCCAATTTGGAACAAGTGAGTCCCAGGCAGCGTGTGGTAGGTGTAGCTGTAGCGAAGACGATGGACAAATGATAAGTGTACCCAAGTGAATGGGACAGCGATGAACATGGGCGACGCAAGGGGATGAACCTTCTCCAGCTCAAAAACTACCCACCCACGCTCCAACCAGGCAAGACGAGCGACCGATGTTTTGATAGTATATGATGGCAGATCGACGTCATGAAGATGGACCTGTTGCCCTATTTGGACCGGCCGCCGGGGCTTTGCTGATATCAGCAGTGGCACGTGGTAGTCAACGGATCGGCGACGGAAGCGGATAGGAAGTGGTGACATCAGAAATGGTGGGGGTGCAAAGAAGATGAGGAGGAGGAGGGTGGAGGTGACGAGGAGGTGAACTAAAATGGGGACCCAGAAACGACCGTCGGGTGAGAATAAAAAGGAGAGGAAGGGGCCCATGGTGGGGCTAGGCAAAGGAAGGGGAGTAAGGGAAACGACAAAAGCGAGGGTGCAATGCAATGTGTAGCCAGTGGCGACGCGAAAATTTGCCGAAATGCCGAAATGCGGAAAGTACCGGATGGAAAAGCAAAGGTGAGCGTGACTGGATTGCCTAATAGAGGTGGTGCTGATCAGCCACAAGTTCAAAAAGGGCAATATTAATTACTATTCCACGTGGCACTGTGCCTGTGTGGCGCAAAGGCGAGTCTTTTTGAATATTCGCTTCGTTATTGACACCTGTCCATGCTACCAATCAACTTTGGTGCATGACACCGGCTCCTCCTTCTCCCACTAAGAAGGACAATCATTCAAAGAAACCTGACCCTCCTTTCAGTCTAGACGAACCCTTTGAGATGCTTGATCTCGAGACACTGGGCTAATCTTACTTTAGGAATGCTCATTTGTTGGCTGTATATAGTATAGAAAATGGGTGGTTGTTGCTCGTATTTTCTTGTTGTCTTGGTCTCGCAGGTGTCCGTTGTTTTCCTGGCCTGTTGTAGTGTCGTTTTCTTGCTGTTCCATGTCCTTGTGTTGTTTGCTCCTCAACGATTGCTCTGAATTCTATAGATGTCTATCCTTTTTGATCTTGTCAGCTGTTTATTATATAGAATATACATTGTGATAAATTGTATGTATCAAAAACATGAGTCGGGGATTTGGCGCCGAAGCGCCGTTACCGATTAGTTTTGGTGGTTCAATGATAGTAATACAGTGAAGTACAGAGGGGGAAGCCAAGCGCCGCTGGCGCCCACCCGCGCCAACGCCGCAGTGAATCTTAACTAGGCTTTTATGCCCGTGGTGCACGCATTGGTTCATCGTTATGCTGTGACTTATGTGACGTCCATAATGCAGCTCAGTTGCAAAACCAACCGTACCTGTAATACCGGCAACGCACGACCTGTGATTCTCAATGGACCTGTTGTTACTGTTGCAGTTGGCATCATCAGATACACAAGGATTGCAAGGATTGCCAAGGTTGCTGGGGACCATCATAAGGTACCGGGTTGAGCTACTCCTTATCATTTCTTGATGAGATCAAGTGAACTGTCACGGTTTGAACGCCTAACAGTACTTTTACAGTAACACGTCGCTACCGTCTAGCTCCATGTCGGCTCGGATCTAGACACGCACTAGCGTTACGATCTAACTAGTAGTCTTGCCCCTTTTACTTGTATCCTTTCCTCACACATCTATTATCTGGCATGGCTCGTCAAGGGCGTTCACCCCTTTCTCGTGTCGTTGCTTTCCGCAGGAATATCTCTACTACGCCCCTTACCATTGGTATACGACGTGAAGATCCATCAAGAATATGGGAGCGTCGTTGTCCGATCACACCACAGGGTGTCGAGCAGCTCGTCCGTTCGGACAGAGTCAAAGTTCTTATCCAAGATTGTGACAGAAGGATATTTCCTATCGACGACTTCCTCAAGGTTGGTATTTTCCTTAACTATTACTCCTTGCAAATTCAGTGGGGACTAGTCTCCCCAATCTTGGCCTCTCGACGTACAACTAGAATCCAAGACACTTACGTGATGAACGTGTTTCCATGCGTCCATTTCCTTTCCTGATTCTCGTCCTACTCACTTTTGTATCATTTTGAATTTGCGTAGGCTGGCGCTTGCATTCATCCTACACTTACTCCAGCACATATAGTGTTGGGGATCAAGGAAACACCATTGAGCGAACTAGTAATATCACCATTAATTGCCCCTGACACAAATTCCGAGCACTCTGTTCCGCGGACTCACCTCATGTTCTCTCATACAATTAAAGGTCAGGAATATAACATGAATCTCTTGTCTCGCTTTCTTGGAAATAGCGAGGAAGGAAAGCTACTCCCAAGGCTCATCGACTATGAATTGCTGACGGGTGATGACGGCAAGCGTACAGTAGGGTTCGGATGGTTTGCCGGAGGTCAGCTGGTTCCATATATGTTGTAAAAGCTGACTGTAAATTTGAAATTTAACCTAGTCGCTGGCGCTCTTGAATCTCTATCTGCAATGGCCCACTCGCACCTTGAGCTGGGTATAGCCAGCCCTTTCTTAGTAAGCGTCATACTTGTACTTTACCTTACTCTGATCACGAACTTCCTTCAGTACACACCGCGGCCGCATACACACCCCTCTGTGCCGTCTCTGCGTGCGTCTCTTAGGGCTATAGGTGAAGCTATAAATCAAAATGGCACTCCTAAGTCATTAGGTCCTTTTGTGGTTTGTGTAACTGGGTAAGTATGGTCAGGCTCCAGTTATCATTAGTCGACCTGACACTTTTGGTAAGGACTGGTCAGGTATCTCAAGGCGCGCTTTCCATTCTCTCGGAACTTCCAGTGATAAATATTCGAGTCGAGGATTTACCTTCTGTAGTCAATAATCCTGGTATGTCTGTCTGTGCACTTCAGTTTTAGTCTTTCAATTGACGTTTTCAGACACGGACCTTCACAAAGTAATCGCACTTCTATTTAGCGCAGGGCTAATGCTTAGAATTGCCCACAGATATATATTGTACATGTCCTCCCTCAAGATTATTTGTCACGCGTAGACAGAAATGGATATGATAGGGATGATTATTATCAACATCCCGAACAATATATATCAAACTTCCATACCAGGGTATTTACTTTCCTTCTCTCTATCTGTAATTTAGTCACGTCTCCACAGGTTGCCCCATATCTCACTCTCTTTCTAAACGGAATAGGATGGACACCTGCTCACCCACGCCTTATGACAAATGAACAACTTGTGGTAGCGCTGACCAAAGCAAAGGAAATTGGCAAGGCTCGATTCAGTTGTATTGGAGACATAAGTTGTGACGTAGAAGTATGTATCCTGATATATTATGCCCTTGCTACGAATCGCTGATCGGGTTGTACGTAACAGGGAGGACTTGAATTTATGCCTCGAGCTTCTACCCTTTCTGACCCCTTCTTCAGTACGAGGCCAGACATGCTCCCAGCTCACCTTCCAAGCGTACAGATCATGTCTGTAGACATCTTGCCTGCCAGCCTTCCTTTAGACGCGTCGGAGCACTTCTCGAGTGTATTGATGCCTTATTTGAAGACACTGATCGGATGGTATCGCCGCGAGAACTTAGAGGGGGAGCAGTATTCAGAAGCTGTCAATAGAGCAACTGTCACACAAGGAGGCAAGCTTAAAGGGAAACATGCGTGGTTGCACGATCCTTTGCAGAAGTGGGCCTCAACCGTTGCTTTAAATGGTTCTCCTTCTACACCAACTAGACGATCCGCAGTATCCGAGCAGCAGCCTCAGTTGAGAAAGAAGAATGTCTTAATGCTGGGAAGCGGAATGGTTGCAGGACCAGCTGTGGACCAAATTTGCAAGCGCTCGGATATCGAGCTGATCGTTGGTACGTTTTCTATTACGGGTGGCTTATGCTCTGCCACTAACCCCTAATTCTTTTATACAGCAAGCAATTGTGCGGATGAGGCTAATCGGGTTACACGCCAGCACTCAAATTCCAATTCCATCATCGTTGACATGAATGACGCATGCAAGATATCAAGTCTGATCAGTAATGCTGACCTGGTTATCAGGTATGGTTCGCTGATTCACTTCCGTTGGGTCATTACTCACCGTTCATTAGTCTTCTTCCTGTTTCGTTCCATCCTTCTGTTGCTGAATTATGTATTAAGCACCGCAAGCACCTCGTTACTGCATCTTATATATCTCCAGCAATGCAGGCTTTGCACGAGCGGTAAGTATACTATCTGGTTTGAATAGGTATCAGCTTGACTTACTCTTCGACTAATGTGACACGCAGAGCCCAAGCTGCGGATGTCCTTCTACTTAATGAAATCGGCTTGGATCCCGGGATCGATCATTGCTCAGCTATATCTCTACTTACCAAACTCAAAGCGCAAAACAAGCGCATCGTTTCGTTTACGTCATTTTGTGGAGGCCTCCCTGCTCCTGAAAGTGCAGATGTTCCTCTTGGTTACAAGTTTAGCTGGAGTCCTAGAGGTGTATTAAGCGCAGCGCTGAACAGTGCTAGATTCAAGCTTAACGGCAAGGTTCGTTGAACTCGCAAAAAAACCTGAGCTTTTGATTGACTATCCTGAATCGCTGATGGTTCGAGTATAGGTCTGGGAAATCCCAGGCGAGGACGTCTTGAAAATTCATTTCCCGAACGTCCCGGTTTCGAATGTATTAAAATTAGAAGGTATAGCCAACAGGGATAGCTTAGCGTATGCTTCAGCGTATCGACTAGGGCGTATGGATGATCTGCGAACTGTGCTGCGTGGGACACTTCGGTAAGGCTCAGTCACAGTTATTTCGATACTACTCTTCTAACCATTGACTCCTTTGTTCCAGGTACCCTGGGTTTTCTGACCTCATGCATTCATTCAAATCACTGGGACTGCTAGATACCATATCTTCGATTAACCTAGAATCTTGGAATTCTCTGGCCTGCGCCTCACTGGAAAAACGCCTAGGTTTGCCCGTAAAAAATAACCTTCCTTCTATCATATCAGCAGCATCGGAAGTCATACCCTCATCACGCATTGATCCGCTTCTGGAAGCTCTTGATTGGCTGTCTTTGACTCCGCATTCTTCCTCAGCCTCTCCTTTACCGCCTCTGCCAAATAAGCCTACAGCACCTATCGATCTATTTACAACTATTCTCGCCCATAAACTCAAGTATGGACCCAAAGAACGTGATATGGTCGTTCTCTCCCACGAAATCGTTGCACAGACTCTTTCCGCATCTTCAGCTACTCTACACGGAAATGAGGAAATACATACTTCGTCGTTGATTGTATATGGTAATGATTCTGCATCTGCTATGGCTCGCTGTGTTGGACTGCCTGTGGCGTTTGCTGCTTTGGGAGTGCTCGACGGCAATGTCTCAGTACGAGGCGTTCACGGTCCCGATAATGAAATCCTTTACACCAGCGTATTGAAGGGTCTTGAGAGCGTGGGTTTAGATATGAAGGAGAGCTTCAAGGCGGGATTGGGCATCGAGGAGCCTCTGATGGCTGGACTGAGTAACCACAATGAAACAATGTACGAAATGTAATGATGACGGCGTCCCAACTTGACGTGTTTAAAGAACCTATCTTCGCTGCCAATGTGCAAGTGATCTCCTCTCCTACAACCACCCTAACTGAGCCTCAAAGGTGTGAGCACCAAGAACATGAACCGTTATCTTGCTTAGCACAGCTGTAGCAGTTTTAAAACGGTGATAAAATAACATTAATATTCTACATTGCTGACCATCCTAGAGCATTTGGTGCCACTGCGAATGTATGAAACACGTCCTCATGCTTGTGGTTATCATAAGAATCGACCATCGTCTTTGTCCTTGATCGACCTTTCCTCACCCTCCTTGTCTTTATCTGCCTCATCCGTTTGGTCATTTCTGTCTTCTTTAACCGTCTCTGCAACAATCACTCCAGCTCTGTCCCCTCCGCCCAGAGGGCTACTCTTAAATCGTGTGCCTTTGATACTGGGTGTAACACCTCTTGCCAAAGGGATTCTGACATCCCTATCCCCACTCGACGAAGCGATGTTACTCGGAACAGAGGGTACAATGACGGTGCTAGTCGGGCTCCCGGCTACAGCTGCGGCTGCGACCAGACGGCGTTTCCTATCGAATAAAAAGGCCTCTAGAGAAGGCGAGGGAGAAACGCTCCTGGAAGCAGGGGAGCTAACAGATCCATGTATAGCAGATACGGGAATAACGGCAGTGTTTGTAGTCCCCATTGAGCTTGTCTTACAAGGTGGCTTGCTGACATTGGTGCCTATCGTAGTAACCACAGAAGGTACCATGGCTTTATCGTCCAATAAAAATGCGTCGTCAGTATTGTCTTTCAAAATGGCTGCCTCCAAGGCAACCACAGGTGAAACGTCTGCAACTTCTTGATCGTCATCGGTAATCTCTACAACAGTAGAAGCCATAAGCTTAGGCGAAGATGGAGCACTTGCTAACTTGGCATCCTGGTCCCTCGGAGTGGGCGGGGCGCTCTTGGACCTAAGAAAGCTGAATCCTCTCATAGCAATCGGACGCAAGATCGGAGTCGAACCCACTCCCTTCGGTACATTAGCATTAGTCGCGTCAGCGATGTCGCCCGTGCCCATGATAGCAAGTTCTGGAACAGAATCCGTACGAAGAAGTGTAGGCAAAGGCGAACTTTCAGTGGGCATATAAGAGGATATCGAGCCGTTAGCGCCTTGAGGGTCAAATTCATCATAAATTTCTTCCCCTATAAGTTCTGATTTTCGGATAACAGTTATCACTAATCCATGAGGTTGAAAAATGGTTGACACAAACCTTCCAAAACGTCTTCTAAAGTGATGATACCCAAAGGCATCACGGCGGGATCGATACCTTGCAAAAACTCATCTGCACTCTTCTTTGCTAAGACTGCATCGGCCGGCATGCTCTGCTCCAAAGCAAGGGAAGACCGTGGCAATCTCATCCTGTGCTTATCTCGTTCCTCAGCTACACCCATTTCTAAATCTGCTGACCTGTGACTTTGATTCTTAGTCCGACCACGCCCTCTCCCTCTGAAGCCAATGGTCTTATCTTGCTTTGGTTGCTCAAATCTGATCTCCTTCTCCGCAGATCCGTCGTCCTGAAGCGTTGCTTCGCCATCACCGTCAGTCTGTTCATCGGACCATGATATCTCTCGTTCTCCTTTGCGTTGATCCTTGGAATCAGATTCCTCCTCATCACTCGAATCGCCCATGCCGACACGATCCCGGAGGCGTTGAGTGAGCGAACGTTTGGCAACTTTCTTAACCGAGGCAGCTTTATCCACGCTGATACGTGAGACAATGGCCATGTGAGAGCGACCTTCCTGGAATTTGTCGAGAATACCGAGGAGTGGTTCATTATTGGGCACGAACGGGACCTTATTGAGGGAAATTTTGCGTAAAGGGACAGCATCTAGTTCATCGTGATTAGAGGGTTGACAGAAAATACAAGTGAGATCACCTTTAGGATCTAATAGGACACACTGGTAACATATTCCAAAATAAATCAGGAACACGTAACAACTAGATATCTTGCCCTACCTGTTTCACTAATAGAATACCAACAATTTTTTTGACCTTCTCGATGCGCCCGGAAGCATCCACGGGTATTTCCACTTCTTCGTATACAGGAACACGACTGTGACCGGTCATACAAATCTTCTTGAGGAGCTCATAGTCAAGTCGAGATTCAATAGAAAGCATGAACACATCCTTGATGGGTGTCATAGCCTAACAAGTGCACCCATGAGACTGGTTCGAGACGATCGTACATCAACCCACAAACCTGTTTGACGACTTTCTCCTGCAGATCAAGAGTTGCTCCAATGATAGTTACAGTATCAGTCTTCAAATCTCCTCCGTGAGCAGACATAGAGGAATGCATTGCAATGAGCTCCTTCAGTTCTGCATCAAAAAGACTAGACATGAGAAGGCATAAAGGAATGTATTGATAGGCTAACCGGCTCGACGATACATAACACCATGATGAGGACCCAGGGCGAATTCTAAAAGTTTAGCAACTGGCCAAGACACAACTCCCTAAAATGGGAGTTAGATAGTCCATTAGACGCCGACATACATCACTTACTAGGACGTATATTAGAATTCGGGTGAATCCCGCCATTTTTGCACCGAGATACAGGCCATAGCGAGTGCACAACGATTGAGGAATGATCTCCGAAAAGCTATATTTCGATAACCAGAATTGACTGTCAGATAATGTTTCTCTAAGACCTCGACACAAACCAGCCCAACTGAGCGACTATTAGATGTGCTAAATAATAATCCTCCGAACACGCGGCTTCCAAAGCGCTTGGTGAAGTAAAAGAAGCACGTGACGTCACACCAACATGCACGACACGTGGGGTACAAACTTTCACCACGATAACGGAGAGGTCAACTCAAAGAGATGCCGACTAGTGCGGCACCAGTCCTGAGTAATTTTCAATGCGCTGACCCCCTAGCTTATCTGATATGCCCACGACCCCAAACATCATTTCATGGAAATGATAAAGGAGTCCATGAAAATACGAAAAAGACAGACTCACATAACGATAAGGACTGTGCTGGTGATGACACTTGGAACGCCACCACCGAGGACAGGGTCTGAGATGACGGGAAGTGTCTCGTTGACAATCATATTCGCGAGAAGAAGAGTCACCAATAGTAAATGACCATTCTGGCGAATAGGCTTAATTTTGTTAGCATATCGCTTCTGCTCGCTGTGTCATTGCAGTGATAAGTATGCAGTGGAAAGAATAAGAATGTGAGAATGCTTACGGTGTTCCACTCATGCTTAAAACATTGAGCTGAGTTTCGTCCAAGCTCATATAACCCAATGTCAAACCGGCAAATACACCAGATAACAAGACAAGAATGGGGATGAGACATGCGAAGATGATGAATGTGACATCGTGCTTGGGACCGCTCGCTCTCTTGACGAGCGTGTGCGACGTAGTGTCGACGCTGTCGCGATTGACGCCAATGAGTTTGCGAAGAATGGCGGGCACATTTTGGGAGAGAACAGAAATGAGAGTAGCGAAAGGACGGGAGGAATGTGATGCAGTGAAACGCGTAGGTACCATTCGAGTTCAGGACACTATTTGGGATGAGCTCACCCACTCGTCGCTCTTATAACCTTATGGAGGCGCAATTACATACGATTATGTAATACACATGACCATACGTGCCGTAAAAGCCGCTAGCACCGCCACAATATGAATGCATGCCACACTGCATTAATAACTGTAGAGGTGTTTTGTGGAGGATAATCAACAATCACTGGTAGTGTCCAATGTCCATGCCAGAGCAATAGTGTACACCGCTAGCGGCACGCTAACGCACGGCCCAGGAATAGGCGAGATACTCATATAATGTAGGCCAGCGTGGAAGGCGGTACCTAGTTGTACAGCCAGCCTGAGAGTTATGTGGTGGCTCCGCAGTGCATTCCATGGAACAATGACGTGCTTTGGGTGCTTAACTTACCTGTCGCAAAGCCCCGTGAGTTCTGGACACGGAGACTATAGCCTCGTGAGTCATAATTGGGTGTCCTCCGGTCAATTACACAATAAGATAGTTTGACACACGTATCGGCGAGGAAATTTTTGGAGTCACCTAGATTTCGTTGTTGCCGTCGCTCCACAGAAGCACAGGGCCAAGTGGCATTTCGTCGTGCCACAATAAGGCAAACAATTCAGCAATGACGCACCAGAAAGGGAATACAGATTATTACGACATATGCATCATGCACACAAGAGCTACAGACCCTTCAAGTTTTAAGTTCCAGCTGGAATTGCAGAAAGGAATGGGCCCACACTTAGCAAGGTAGGATTTCCGTATGACTGTAAAATAATCGGAACCACAGAGCAAAAAGCCAAATGTAGAAACTTGACTGAATATTGCATAGTAAGGTCAGATGTGTATAGCGAGCAGCATAGAAGAGACACTGGCAGTGGCTGTCATGAACTTAACGGCCAGTGTGATCGAGGTTTTCAATTACGTAATTGCATGTCTGGTGCCGAGCCCGTTTCGCCCCGATAATGCTTGCGTCATGACGGGACAAAGTATCAATATTTATTAGCCTTTTTCTCGACGTTCAGTTCTTTGTTTTATTGAAACACACAAATGCTCGCTTTGTCACAGGATCTTCTACATTTGTTAGTTTAGCATCAGTGAGTTTCTATGTACGTATTTGGCTGATAAACTAACGAGGATTCCCCAGAAATGTTTACCCAATTTATGCAGAGCAGCAGTCTGCTGTCACGTTCCTACCGCCCACGGCCCACCTCTACGGCCTTTCCTAGAAGCTCTCGGGCTATGTCATATAGCTTTGGAACTGTACATGCAGCCCCACCAAGATCTCGTCTCAGCAAGTATGCTCGCCGATCTGGTTATATGGCGTTAGGCTTTGGGACGGTTTGGCTAGTCGATAAGGAGTACAACGCTTCTGCGATAGGGAGAAACTTTAGAACGCTATGGACTGTGAGTGCATTTTACACCAGCCATGTATCATCATGCGTCGCAGCAACTTTTGAGGGTGCATTCCTCACGCTCTATAGTCAGACGCGATGCACTCTGGCTTCTACTTCTGCCAGCATATGTATGAAACACGTGTGCTGCATGACGATTCAAAAGGTGCCCTATTGTTAGCGCCTTTATATTTGGCCATTGCTATATATTCCAATTAGCCATTCAATTCACATGTTCGAAATACCCCGCTAACAGGGTCGTCTGTCTGCAGCAATAGTTTTTACGTCGGACATACCCTTTGTACCCTTTAGGCACAACCGTACTATCACGACTGATGTTTCGTGGGGGCTATACTGATTATTATTTTTTCCTAGTGTGTGTTAATAACCCTGGATTACAAAATCAATTTCCAGCCAAGCAAGGCAGATCATATACCCGACCTTCATGAACGTGTCGCCGGCAGAATGTACGACCTCTTCACATCCAACGGCGGTTTGTACATTAAAATCGGTGAGTCTTAGCAATGTGTCCGGGTCAACCTCTTCGCTTACTTGCTACCTAGGCCAGGCAATTGGTGCTAACGCTGCCCTCCTTCCCCGGGCCATGCAGGATAAATTTAGTCGACTATTTGACGACGCTCCACAGATTCCCTACTCTACGATCTTGTCAGTCTTCAAATCAGAATTTGGGAAACCCCCCAGTGGGTCGGATGGTATCTTTGAGGTGTTTGAAGAAAAAGCAGTAGCCAGTGCCAGCGTTGCACAGGTCCATCGTGCGAAGCTCAAGAGCGGGGAATGGGTGGCCGTGAAGGTTCAGAAGCCGGACGTAAACAAGCAGATTGAGTGGGATCTGGGCGCTTTTAGAGCAGTGATGTGGATGTTTGAGCACTGGGTGTTTGACCTGCCGGTATATTTCGCGGTTGGTGAGTAGGTATTGCATTCATCCAATTCTTTGTCCTGAAATACATGCTGTAGACTTTATATCAGACCATCTACGACAGGAGCTTGACTTTGTTCAAGAAGCCAAGAATGCCTCGAAGACCGCCGAGTTTGTGGCCGCAGAACCGCGCCTTGCAGGGAGTGTACATATCCCGAAGGTATATGCAGAATATTCAACGAAGAAAGTGATGACGGCCGAATGGATCGACGGTGTCAGACTCAGCGACAGAGGTGCCATACGACGTCTAATGGGTGAAAGTGATAGCTCTATGTCTATCGTCAAGCTATCTTCCGACTTGGAAGGAGTCCAATTGAATGGTGGACTGAAGGCAATCATGCAGACTATGGTGGAATTATTCAGCGCACAAATGTTCAATTGGGGTTGGGTTCACTGTGATCCCCATCCCGGGAACATCATCATTCGACCACACCCATCGGATCATCGTCGCCCACAGCTAGTTTTACTTGATCACGGTTTATACGTGCGGGTGTCGGAAGATTTCAAAAGACAGTATGCTACTTTGTGGCGGGGTTTGCTTGCGGCGGATTTTAGTGCAATTGAGGGTGTGACGAGGGAATGGGGAATTGGAACCCCAGATCTGTTTGCCAGTGCAACGCTGATGAAACCAATGAAGTTCAAAAATGGGAATGGAAATGGCAATAGAAGCAGCGGAGGGGAAAATTTTGAGGGATTAAATGAGTATGAACGGAGCGTCAGGATGAAGGCAAAGCTGAAGAATTTCTTACTGGATACTGATAAAATGCCTAAGGAATTGATTTTCCTTGGCCGGAACATGCGGTAAGTTAACATCTTATTTTCAAGTGTGACCATCTAGCTCAAGGTGTAGTGATTATGAATCAGGATGGTACAAGGTTAGTTATGCCCGTTAGCTATCGCATAGAATGAACGATAACACTCATGGATAGGAAACAACCAGTCGCTTGGGACTCCTGTGAACAGAATCAAGATCACGGGGTACTGGGCATCAAGATCATTAACAAGAACGCCAAACCTCCCATTCTTGCAGCGTCTAAAGGAGTACTGGCATTATTTTATATTCCGGAGTATTATGTTTTCGGTTGACGTGTTTTTCTGGACAAGTAAGCTCAGACAACAAATCAAGGCAAGACTAGGTCAGAAAGGCGAAGACTTTGAGGACGAGCTAGAGCGAACTATGCGAGGTTTTGCGAAGAGTAATCTGGGAGTGGATGTTGCTCCAAACGCCTTTGAAGGCTGAACTACGACACGATATAGACGCACCACAGGTGGGACTTCTTAAATATCATTTTTAGAATACTTTAGACCATGATATTTTCATTGTGCATTACATGTATTGTCCACTACACCAGCTCAAATATCTATCACCACAAGCATAGTCATTCACGTGTTCACACCTGAATATAAACCGGTAATCAACTGCCGTTACACCAAACGTTCCCCCATCGATCCTGCGCACCACCTGCCGACCCGTAGCTTGGCTCATCGTCCCATGCATCGTCAATGTAGCCTACTCCATAACTTGCGGCTGCATTAAATTCCGGTAGTGGACACTGGATCCCAAGGAAGTAAGGGCATGCTCGATCTACTGCATTACATGTTCCAAGGCACGGCAGCAATGCATCATATACACTGTTAATAGGCGGCAGGTTGGGATTGCGTTGCGAAGAGCCACTGGGCTGCGGAACCAGTGCAGATATAGGGACTGGAGCAGAATATGCGGAGGATATAGGGTTAGGCGATGCTTCAGAACACCGGGTGAAGGAGACACTACAAAGCCATCGGCGGTATGCTCTTTGACAGTCTGCGCATGTCTGCAACGGTGAATAGATACCACGACCACACGCGAAAGTGAGTAACATCGTAGTGAAATTTGTCATGTACTGGAGTAGTGGATCGGACACGTCAGAAGGGAGGGTGGTAGAATTGTAAGCAAGATTTGGAGCTGCAGGGGGAGGAAGCGGCACAGCATATGCTGTGGAAGGGCAGAATGGCAGGGAGTATACCAGTGGACATGCAAATGCGGCTTATAGATCATGAGTAGTCAGCACATATTCACCACACGGGCTCAACGTTCTGCGTACCAGATTTCGTGGCAAAGTAGATTGGTCCACTGACTTTCGTTTGATCTTGAATAACATATACGGTGTAGTTTGTTATTGGTGACAGATTCCCCATAAGCCACTGTGACCTCCAGCCTTGCTCATCGCGGAGCCACAGATCTTGATTTATCTCTAAGCCTGATTGTGGTGCAGATAGTAAACTACACCCCGTTTGAGGCAGTCCAGTTAAAGAAGAAGACGTAGCACTGAGGACTAAGGTAAAGTTCGGGGATGATGGCGGCGTGGGCATGGAGAGATTTGCAGGGGGGATGGTGTAGTTTGGATATGTTGGCTGCTCTGCGATAGGGGGAGAAAATGGAGGTGAAAATAGTAGGGCTTGACTTGATGTCGTATCTCCTAGTAGTGGCAGGACATTGAGGACTTCGTGCATTACACCTATTGAATGTTCTTTAAGTAAATACCATATGGTTGTAGATAGCTGTAGATATAAATGGGGATGTAGGAGAATGTTGTTGATAGGGAGTAAGCCGTCAGAAACTTACCGCCATTCGAAATACCTATTTCGAAAGAGGATTGCCCAAGGCCCTCAACGGCTACGGTCCCACCGTCAAGCATAGGTCCTGTCCAGTTGCCAAACCCTTCGTTCAAAGGTATGTTGAACACATCCTGTCCACCAGTGGAACTAGGTACATTTATTGCAGAATTATTTGTGACATAGAAACGTGCAGTTGTACTCTGTATCGTCCCCGAGCATATTGCCACGGAAACAGAGAGCTGAGACGATGAGGGAAGAGAAAAGGCAGAGGATCCAGCGAGAGAAGAAGCAGAAAACGAGGAGAGCGAGTTTATAGACAATTGGTGTTTTGTTTGCGCAGAAACCAAAGCAGCCTGTAAAAGAAACCAGAGAGACTTCGGAAGGGCTTTATGCAGGGAAACGTCCTTGAACCTGAAGTTCATTATCGCGCAGGCAAGCGCGCAGTGTCCCTCATACAGGTCAGTTGCTAGCAAGTTAAGTCCCCTTAACCATCGATTACCTAATATGAAATAATAAATTTTGTTATCTATGGATTTTGACTGAGTTCTGACTCGGCCAAGTAGCGCGTGGATGTTTATAGCAAGGCATCGATATCTGCTCTTGCCTCTTAATCGCACCTCGAGATATCTCTTGCACGCGAGATCAATGTCTGAGAAACCCGCAGTAAACGTTTCTCTGAGCGACAACGCCAATCTGCCGTCTGATGGCCCTCATCCGAACTCGAAAAGTGCAGGTACGTTGTTCGTGCCATCTTCATCGGCGTTGATTGTTCAGCATCCATCATAGCAAAAAAGGAGGCAAAGAGGTTGGAGAGGGAGGCTAAACTAGCAGCAAAGCAAGTAAAACAAATCTCTAGCACGCCCGCTGGTGAGAAGAAAGCCAAAGCAGAGAAAGAGAAGAAGGAAGATGAGGCAGTATTCATCAACACCACCCCAAAGGGCGAAAAGAAAGGTCATCGCTATTTCGTATCCGTCGTTTTTCTAAGCCTTACAATGTTATCTCAGATTTATCTCAGCCAATGGCAAGTGGCTACAACCCAACCGCCGTCGAGTCAGCTTGGTATGACTGGTGGGATGCTCAAGGATATTTCAAACCCCAGACTGCTCCAGATGGAAGTGCTAAACAGGAGGGAACATTCGTTATACCTGCACCTCCACCAAATGTGACCGGTAGCTTGCACATTGGTCACGCCCTTACAGTTGCAATTCAGGATACTCTGGTGCGATGGTGAGGATCGCATATTAGTGACATATTCACCCTCTTTAGTCATAACACTTGGTAGGAATCGAATGTTAGGTAGAACGACACTTTTTGTGCCGGGTTTCGATCATGCCGGTATCTCAACGCAGTCTGTCGTGGAGAAGCGCCTATTCAAAGCCACTGGACAGACCCGTCATGATCTTGGTCGTGAAAAATTCCTTGATACTGTAATGGATTGGAAAACCGAGTAAGCATGATATCGTACTCATTGTCCGTACTCTCACTCTCGTTGTAGTTACCAGAGTCGTATCACTAATCAATTACGTCGTCTGGGTGGAAGTTACGACTGGGATCGCGTTGCATTTACCATGAGCCCGGTGAGCTAACGTTATTTTTAGCTCTGGTTGACTCATCTCATGAATTGGCGAAGGAACTGTCAAAAGCCGTCATCGAAAACTTTTGTAGACTACACGAAGATGGGATTTTATATCGTGCCAATCGTTTGGTAAACTGGTGCGTTAAGATGAACACAACACTTTCCAACCTCGAGGTGGGCACATTTTATTGGATGGTCAACGTTGAGCTGATTGAAGAAGGTCGATCAAAAACAACTCAATGGCCGCACATTGCTCAACGTGCCAGGCTATGACGCCAAGGAAAAGTTTGAATTTGGTGTTATAACATCATTCGCGTATCCTCTTGAAGGCTCAGGTAAATTATAGACCCTGTAATTCCAAGGTTTTTGCTAACTGGGTCATCTCAGATGAAAAGATCATTGTTGCAACAACACGCCCTGAGACCATGCTTGGCGATACTGCCATTGCTGTTCATCCCGATGATACAAGGTATATAGTACGTGCTCCCTTTCTTATCTAACCACTCGGTCTACATCTGTCGTGGGTAGCATCTTCACGGAAAATTCGCACTCCACCCCTTCATCAACCGACGTATTCCGATCGTAGTAGATGCAGAGGTAGTAGATATGGAATTTGGAACCGGTGCTGTGAAGATTACACCTGCTCATGACCCTAACGATTATGAAGTTGGTGTGCGTCATAAACTGGAATTTATCAACATATTAAATGACGATGGAACGTTCAATTCAAATGCTGGCGAGCGCTTCAAAGTGAGTGTTGATAGCCGTAAAGTTCTATTTTACGTTAATGGCAAGACAGGGTATGAAACGATTCCACGTTCGTGTAGCAGTCGTCAAAGCCCTTAAGGACGCCGGCTTGTTTATTGAGACAAAAGATAATCCAATGCAAATTCCCATCTGCAGGTGGGCTTAGCGTCTTGATACAATCCTTTTTCTTGTCTTGACACATCTGCAGTAAATCGGGTGACGTGATTGAGCCTGTTCTGAAACCCCAATGGTGGGTCAACTGCAAACCACTGGCAGAAGAGGCAATTAAGGTTCGGATCCCCTTTTTTGTGTCAGCTATCGAACTCACCTGCGTTCAGCATACGCGTGCTGGCGAGATGGTGATTACACCAAAGCAGTCAGAGGCTGATTGGTATCGCTGGTTAGATAACATACAAGATTGGTGTATCTCGCGTCAACTCTGGTGGGGACATCGTTGTCCCGCATATTTCGTGCGCATCGAAGGGAAGGAACAAAATGTAAGTTACAAACCATCGAACCTAATACTTGTTTCATCGATGTTTGCAGACAAGCGATGGCAAAAACTGGGTTGTAGGACGTAATCTCAAGGAAGCTACGGAGCGGGCCAAAATTCTGGCGAATGGGGAAAAGTTCACATTGGAGCAGGACGAAGATGTTCTCGATACTTGGTTCTCTTCAGGCCTATGGCCGTTTTCTATTATGGGTTGGCCTGAGAAGGTGAACGCTTATCTTTCTCTATGCTCTGCCTTGATATTGACGGTATTACTAGACCGCAGATATGGAACACTACTATCCCTCATCTATGCTAGAAACAGGCTGGGACATTCTTTTCTTCTGGGTTGCCCGCATGGTACTCCTTGGCATTCACCTTACTGGACAAGTACCTTTCAAAGAAGTTCTATGTCATGCGATGATTCGAGATGCTCATGGCCGCAAGATGAGTAAGTCGTTGGGGAATGTTGTAGATCCTCTGGATGTTATTCAAGGTTTACCGCTGGAGTCCTTGCATGAAAAGCTCTACGAAGGTAACTTGGATGAAAAAGAAATTGCTAAGGCAGTCGCTGGGCAGAAGAAAGATTTCCCGAAAGGTATTCCACAATGTGGAACAGATGGGCTACGCTTTGCGCTTTGTGCCTACTCAGGAGGAGGTGAGATCCATTTCTTACCTTATGTAGAAATATCCACTGATCCTTGTCAAGGCCGTGATATCAATCTTGAAATTCTCCGAGTTGAAGGTTACCGCAAGTTCTGCAATAAGATATTCAACGCTACCAAGTTTGCCATGCTCAAGCTTGACAGAGACTTTGTTCCAGAGTCAGCAGCGAAAGTATGTTACTTCCATCGCCTGTTATATTCGCCTTTTCTAATGTGCTACAGCCTACAGGAAACGAAAGTCTCGTCGAGCAGTGGATTTACCATAAGCTCAATGTGGCCGCAGCACATATAAATGCTCAGCTAGAGGAGCGTAATTTTATGGCGGCAACGACTTCAGCATACAACTTCTGGCTGTATGAGTTGTGTGATGTCTATATTGTACGTCTGCCTTTGGACATCTTTTACAGGCTCTAAAAAAAACCATTTTGACATATTTCAGGAAGCAATGAAGCCTATGACGGATGAATCTGCACCTGCTATTGTCCGCAAGTCTGCCCAACAAACTCTCTATACTTGCCTGGACTATGGTCTCCGCCTTTTGCATCCGTTCATGCCCTTTGTAACTGAAGAGCTATGGCAACGTCTACCTCGCCGCCCTAATGATTCTACACCATCAATCATGGTCTCATCTTACCCCGTATACGTATGTTTCTGTTAATCCACTTCTGTGTAGAGTGATTAATTAGCCTATCACCGCCAGGACGCATGTTATGTCTTTGCGCAAGCAGACAAAGACTTCGATCTTGTATTTAGTGTACTGCGAACCGGGAGGTCTCTAGCGGCTTCCTACAATGTGCAGTCAGAAATACAATGTACGAGACAGCACCTTTCCTATCTTCGATATGCCCACTGATGATGTTGATAGTATTTGTCCACGCACAATCGAATGAAGAAGAAGCTCTTTTCAAGTCACAGACACCTACGCTTGTGGCTCTGACGAAAGGTTGTAAAAGCGTTGAGGTCATCCGAAGTTCAAATGATGTACCACCAGGTTGTGGGTCGGCGGTAGTGACCTCTACCGTTGCTGTTTATATTCTTGTGAGAGTAAGTACTTCGTTACTGTTACTCTAGGCCAATACTGACCCCGCCTATCAGGGGCTTATCAACCTGGAAGCGGAAATCGCGAAGTGCGATAAGAAGATAAACCTTTCTCGCTTGAATTTTGAGAAAGTCAACAAGGTTATCTCCCAGCCGGAATATGAGGACACAGTACCAACAACAGTCCGTGCCGCGAATGAGGAAAAGGTAACTTTTTATGAAGTTGACTTGACTACGAGGAAGATGCTAACCATATAAACAGAGGAAAACTCTGGAAGCTGAAATCGCAACACTAGAGCTGTCTAGGCAGATGTTTACAGATTTGAAATGAAGTTAGATTACACGATATTCTACATATATTCAGTCAAATGGAGGTATGCTTACTTATGCTCGTCGGAAAGGAAAACAAATAAGCTTGCAAGCCTTTTGTGAAGGATGGATCAACCACTCATGCCAATTTGTTGAATGCCGCGGAGTATTAGTTGCTGACCCGATATTTTCTAAAGATTCATGTTTATCCTGAACGGAACCTTGGTAAGTTATTTGTATCCTTCTACCAGTGAGAACCTGCCCTTGTCCCATCCTGAAAATATAATACTATTTAACTGTTGCTGTTCTCAATTATTTGTAAAGGTGCACGATGTCATTTTGTTATTTGATTCACGGACAAATTTGGCTTATCATGAATCCATTCGTTTCGTCAAACGCGGAGAGAAACTAGTGCAAAAGTAAGTGAGTATGCAACATATTTATATAGGAAGAAGATGCACCATAGAGGTATCGAAAAACATAAACATGAAGAAAACTATAACACTGGTTCAGGGAACTCCGACTTCTTTCGTGAAAATACTATTTTAAAACAGGAACGCATACATGAACCACCTACAACATACACTATACACTTTGGGAAGTAAGGTCACTGAAAGCCAGCTAGTTCATCACTGACTGATCTAAGCCCAATGACCACATCACTGAAATCACCATCACTAGTATTCAGCATCAACACTGATCACTGATGTTCATTGTACATTACAATAAGTCTGATGTACAAAGTGCTAAAATCAATTAATCATTCTAATCAATCACTGAATGTTTATCAAAGAGTTTCGAGGCAATCTATTGCATAAAGTCACCATCTGAGCCTGGTCTGGAGTCATAAAACTCAGATTCCACTCCCTCTGTGTCTTGACAAAACTGGATAAACCCGGTCTCTGCTAAAGCAGCCATTGTTCTCCATGGAGCATAGCCACCACTCCATGGAGTAACCATTGTACTCCTAGTAGTCATTATACTGTAGCAAGTAGCACCTCTGACTATAAGTAATAGGGGGTTTAGTATAGAAATACCTCAGTCGTTTCTATAGCCTCTTGGGCAGCGGCTGAGGTATGTTACATTACATTTATTAGAGATCACCTTAAACTAACATCCATTGTAGTTTCACATAGGTAAATAATATAGTCGTTTCTATAGCCTCTTGGGCAGCGGCTGAGTTTCACATAGGTTTATTAGGTTATGAGCCCTGGTGCGCAAAAGCTACGCAGGAAATAATTCTTATTCAAAATGGCAACCTCAGAACCATGACCACAGCACGCGATACATCCGCATGTCCAGTTCTCACTGGACCCAACAATTTTCAGATATAGAAACTCCGGATCATCTCAAAGCTACGTCGGGAAAAAGTTCTCCGGGTTGTTACTGGAGAGGAGCTTGAGCCCTAACCAGGAAA